CCACAGTGCTATCCACAGCACCACCTCGCTCATCCAAGGAAATATAAAGTCAAACTCAAAGGAGATATAAACTCAACACACTTCCCCCCAATAAATAAACCCACCAAGATATAAAGAGATCCAATACAGGTCTATCTAAAGCTGAGGTTTTTACCCTTTTTTGTGGCACAGCAGTCTGGTAAATCTTATAGACCCTTTTCTAAAGAATATTTTAAATAATCAAAAGGTTATATTCAATTTCAGGTAATGGTTACTGAAAATAAAGATGTAATTCCTTTTCCCATCTATGTTCACAGACCCAGCAATCTATCCATGGAGCCCTCATTAAGAACCACTTCTCTGTAGTGTTAATGAACAGAACCTAAATCTGGATCCAGAACGAAGATTTAATTCATTGGCTGATTGAGCTGGCCGTTTCGAGAAACACCGGGCCAAATGTCTTCCCTGGGCAGTATCTGTAATTTTGTCCATAACATAATCCAAGACAAAGAAATACCGTGGTCTTTGCAATTACATCCAGCTGGGCAACTCCTTTCAACTTGGTCAGTGGTTCTACATTACCCATTGGTTGTCAAATGGCTACTTTTTCCAAATTGTGCCACAAGATAATGTGTATTCAACTGGATGAACAGAGATCACACCTTGAGCCTCCAAAGAGGTTGAGGGGATAAGGGAGAGAATGAGGAGATGCTAAAGGGTGTGTGTGTGTGTGTGTGTGTGTGTGTTCGCGCGCGCATGTGTGTGTGTGTGTGTGTGTGTGATAAGTCAAGAAGGTACAAAGGGGAAAAATATTGGAATCATTTGTATCTTTTTTTTCTCTTTTATTCCAAACATGAATTTTTGTAAACTTGGCATTTCCAAAACAGTGCAAGTGAATTCGAAAATAAGTGACCATAGAAATGCAAATACAGGCAAAATCAAGAGAGAGACGGTACTGTCCCTCCCAGCAACATTCAAGAGAGAAATTTACAGTTTATCTGTCCATTAGCGAGGTTTAGAAAGTGAAGCATTGACAGCCAGCCCCCATCCATCAATCAGGATCACCCCGATCCTTAAGCAAAGCCTCGGTTCTTGATCACCAGGTCTTACTGCATCTTTATCAGTTTAGGAATTGGGCACCACTCCCCAAACAAACCAAAAACACAGAAGACATTCAATAATCAAACTGGGAATTATCATTCCTTTCTAAGTGATAGAGACAGTAAAAATTATTGCTTCTTTATCTTACACTTAACCAAGATTTCTTTTATTCATTCTTTAATGTGCATATTTTATATATTAATGTGAATCATTACTTTAAAAATACAAATACACCTTACACACTTGGAGCATTTTGAAAACATCCTATTTTTCTGTCTACTGTTAGTTGAAGATTTTCCTCTATCCCTCTGCCTCCCCAAAAAAATCCTTCTTTATATAATGCTCTTCAAGTTAGGGAAGAGTTGAAACCTCATTCATTTAACCTGATATAATTTTTATATCTAACATCACTCATCTACAAACAGGACTCAGCTTAGGCACCCTGTCTCACCAAGGCAAATCCTATAGAAGGGTTCCATTTGGGAGATATTGACCTCGACATGGACCCTCTGTTCATTCCTTTCCTGACTCAATGAAGATGGGTGCTGGCGGTTTCCCGGAAAGGGTATTCCTCCTCACTTACCTCCTTGCCTCTAGCCTGGGAGACAGGAGCTGCACACCACCTGGGGCAAACATGATTTTCTATTGTATTCTCACTGTCTGCGTACCCTTGCTGAGGCTTAAAGGTGCTTCTGAAGGTCTGCCCACTGAGGTCTTTGGTGACCTACCTGGTGAGTAATGACGACCCCATGCCTTTTTACAGTAAAGCAGAAGGGAAGGCTTCCTGGGCAGCTCTTGCTAATACACCCTTGTGTTCAAGGACTTCCTGGGTGACTTTACATGAAGGGTCAACATGTCACTTGGGGCCACATCACACCACAGGGAGTCAACCCCAAACAGGGGAGATTGTTTTTGCTACCTTCTAAAACAAAAAGTCCTGTGTTCTGTAGCTAGTAAACATTTTATTCTCTCTGAAGGTCGATGAAAACCTGAGGTAATACATTGGGAGGAAGGTAGAAGAGAGCGCTACCAATGGGACTGGACCACAAGTCTATTTCTGAAGTCAACAACCTTCCCAGGGGGCGAGAGAGAAGCAAACCCATAATGAACGTTACTGAGAGTGCAGAGAAACCAAACCCTCCTCATTCAACGCAATAACTCAATTCATCAAGCCTTAATTAAGCATCTGCTATGTGCCAGGTACTGGGAACAAAAACAAAAAACCTCACCACCTCCTGCCCTCAACAGGCTTGTACACTACTCATGGGCCCCAAACCACCAAGTAGCCTGATGCTGGGGAAACCCTATGTGTAGCTAAGTTCCTCTAAGAAGCTGCTGGGAGACATGTGAAGCATCACCCTGATTTGATGAAGGGAGCAGCAGGTTCTATGGAAAAGATTCTGGTGGAACTATGGGTGGGACCACCTGGCCTCAACTCTCCTCCCACTCTGAGGCATTTCTGAAAGAAGGCTGGACTTTTCAGTCCCCGTATTTGAGTAAGCCACAGCTCATCATTACCTTCAGGCATTGTCTTTTGCCTGGCATCTATATTTGCTTAGGGCAAACTGGCATGGCGGGAGACTTTATTCATTGTTCTTGAGGTGGGGAGCCAGGAAAACCCAGGTTTGAATCTGTCTCTGACATTTACTTGCTGTGTGTCAGTGGGCAAATAACAATCCCTCTGAGCCTCAGGTATCTCTCTGTAAGACTAAGCTACAGAAGAGCTGCAATCTGCATGGTGGGGGGATCGGCACACTGATGAAACTGCAGAGCTTTGGAATACTGATGTGTGGGAGTGAGCCCAGCTATGGGGCTTTGGCACTCTGGAAGCCCTCACATTTCACTGCTTCTCCCATGTGTAATAATGCAGAGAGCATTTCATGTGGAGTCCAATGCCAAGGTTTCAAATGCCAGCTCTATCTCTTACTCCCATGGGACATGGGACAAGTCCATTCATCTCACTGACCTTAGTTCTTTAATCAGTGAAGTGAGAGGGTTGGACCTCGAAGGTCTCTTTTAACTCTACATCTAAGGTCCTAAGATTCCTCCAATTGAAACTGATTTGGGAATGCCAATCATACTTCTTGGGGAAAACGATTGGAAATGGACACATGATTTCATTGATACGGAGAAGTTCCAGGGGAGGAAGCTCCCTGTACCAATACAGGTCAGCATGTCCTCTACAACTGAAAAGTCTCAAAGCATTACCTCAAGGACTGAGAGTTTCTAGGACTTATCAGGGGTCAGTCAGCGTATCACAAATCGGTATTGAACTCAGGCCTTCCTGGCTGCCTTTCTAATCATTCCAAATGGATCAATGTCTTGCATGGTGGTAATGGGGAGTATGAGACCTAAAATGTTTCTGGCCATAGGAGCTGATGTGTTTGTTACCATGAGCCAATAGATTCATACATACTGATTTGTTAAAGAAAAATTCCAGAAGGAAGCCAATAAAAAATTGTTCATGGGAAGCCAGACTTCCCCATCTCTTTCAAGGGAATTTGTTGCCCAGACTGATACAGCAGGATACAGCACCCCAATCTTTCTGGGGAGACATCAGGGACAAAGTCTTGGGAAATAATCCCCTCCAAATAGGCCAAATACTGGTGATGAAATATCTTTGTGGCCTTCATGGCCAGGAGAATTTCATTTATTCTGTCACTCCCAGTGTCCCCATCATCCGCTCTGATGCAAGGAAAGGTGGAATAAATGATTCTTCTATGACCAAATGCATTTAGTCTCAGGACAAAACAATATTAAAAATCAGACGCAAAGAGAGAGGTCCAAGAAACTTGACTAGTAGCTGCTAGGCTGAGATGCCGAGACGTCAGACTCACTTTGTGACAGCCTGTAGCTGCTTCTTCCTTTGTCCTCGAAAACCCAAGGGAAGCCTCAGCCTTTAGAAGGAGGCTCACTAACTCACTCCAGGCATAAGGCTTCGATCTGGAAGGGCCTCTGGGAGGTTACTGCTCAACTTATATCAGACACTGCCGGCACGCAGCTGGGCACGAGGAGCTCTCTTTCCATTCTAGGGCTGGGGGAACACCAAGTCTGCCACAACTCCTCGCACAGGTCTATCTGGATCTGCTCACACCGAGCCCACGGTGTGCCTTGAAAAAGATGGCTCTGATGGGGAGATTCCAGCAGCTTTACAGCTGAGACAAAGCCTTCTCATAGAAAACAGCTCTGGGATTCAGATACAGCAGCAGAATGCTTCTGATGTCAAACCCTTCCAAAGGAGAAGCCTCGATAACGAGGGCAAAGCACTCCACTGAGCAATCTACCTGGTATCTGTGGCATCTCTTACGCCTCTCGTGGTGCCGGCCAGGGCTGGCTTCCTGGGCAGCTTGGGCATGAAGCCGTAATGAGCTCAAGAAGAGGAAGAAGGCAAGGTCCCCGTTTGTGAATGGGGATGGCAGCCAGTGCCCCACCCCCAGCTTGAGGCGTCTCAGATGGCCCTGGAGATGGACGGAGCTGTCCGACCCCGAAGGTTTGGGTGTGGCGTCTCAGTGACACAGATGAGACCCAAGGCAAGGATTTCGGCCGGCATCAGCCTGGTGGAAGGCATGAGGCCTCTCTCTACCATGCTCCTAATCCACCAAATGAAGGCAAGACAGGTTGGGGCCCCAGTGGCCAGGTTTTGCTCCTCCCCCTTCTGGACGTGATGGGTCTCTTTGAAAGAAGAGCATTGGCGAAAAGCCCTCAAGCTTCCATTCACACCCAACTTACATTGAGAGAAACGTAGAGGCTGCCAAGTGCCACCATCACACGCAGCTGATCCAGCATCCCGTATGTGGCACCACCCTATGCCGCCTGTACGTGGCAATGCCAGGCCTATTGTTTTTCTATGAGAGGCAATAACAATTTCCTTTAGCTCATTTCAGCGGCAAGTCTGTTGGGTAATAAGTTCAAACATACAATAGGTTTTTAAAATATATTTATATACACACACACACACATACATATATATGTATCTCCCAGGTTTCAGCCAGAAATCAGTGCTTGAGTGAACTATATAGCTATTTAATAGAAATAATAAAACATTGATACAAATATAAAGACATAATCAGTATAAAAGGCTTGTATTTATAAAAAATACTTCTAGGCAAGTCTTCCCCTGAGGGTTTACCACATACGTTGGACTCATAAATATTGCTCAGCACACAGCTTGCTCTCTGGAGTTCATGATTCACCCGTTCCAGCCTCGGTGCGCTGCTCAGGTCACGTGCCAGCGCTGCAGGGGTGGCCTCGGGATCTGCTCCCTTGATTGGTAGAACGAGGAACAAGACTGCATCGACGGGCCTCCGAAAAATCTGGAGAAGATTCCTTCTTCCACATATGGAAGATACAAAGAACAGGGACAAGAGGTGAGCAGGCATGGCGGCACGTGACCGGTGGTGGGTTGCATGGTGCCTCACTGGCTTTTCTGGACCCAGTCCCAACTGTCTTCATTCTCTTTCCGGTTTTTCTCAGCTTCAATAATTTCTTTGTACCTTCTGCGAAAGAAGCCCATCTAAAGAGGAGAAGAGAAAGAGTAGAAGCTGATTAGAGCCTCTGGAATTGGAAGCCACGGTGATTCCAACACTGCCAACACCAAGTCAAGGCTAGCCTTCCTTACAGCCACACCACTAAGCCGTCTGACATGTCTGTATACACAAAAAGTATTTGTCTGTCATTTAATTAGACAGAAATCTCTTCAAACCACTAGAGAGGCAGTGGGACATAGTAGGTAGAGCACTGGACCCAGATTCAAGAAGATTCAAGTTCCTGCCTCAGACACTTACCAGCTGTATGACCCTGAGCAAGTCACTTAAACTTTCTGAGCCTCAGTTGCCTCATCTGTCAAATAAGGGCTTTGGGCTCTATGACCACTAAAGTCCCTCCTAGCTCTAAATCTCTAATCCTCTGATTGGATGAAATGCACAACAGAGCATTTTTTCACATCCCATTTCCCACCTAGTGATTGTCAGAGCCAGTGACAGGCACCTCTCACTCAATGGGACCCTTTCAAACTCTTGGAGGTCCACTCTACTCACCTTGGAATCAACTGTTTCCATGCTCCCAAGTAAACATTCTGAAGACTTTTTTATGCCCTACTTACATCCAACCTTACTAATGTTTTTTTGGTTTATTTTTTTTAATTACATTGTGATGGCCACAGGTGGAAGTGGTCATGAAGAAATGGATTTTTATTCTTTGGAGATTCCTATACTCACCTCCCTGCAAGAGCTTTCATTTAAATAGGGCCCTCGTGGATCTAAATAGGGACAGTCATCCCCTTGCTTGTTGCAGAGCCTGCTCCTGGTTGATTTCCCTGCTTCTTGCTGGGTCCCTTTCTAAGCCCCACCCCATCCAGCTACCAAAACAATCTTCCCAAAGACCAAATCTGATCACGCCACCACATGGGTGGTTCCCTAGCGTCTTCAGAATAAAGTACCCACTTCTCAGCCTGACACTGAAGAGCCACCGTGGTCTGACCTCTACCTACCTTTCCAACCTTATTTCATAGTCTTCCCCTTCAGAATGTTCCATTCCAGCCAAAATGGAGCACCAGTCACTCCCTAAACCAGAAACTTCCTGTGATTCCTCTCTGAATGGGCACACACCATGAGCCATGCTGGGATACGTTCCCTTCCCCATCTCTGCCTCTCAGAAGTCTTGCTCATTTATCAGCTCAGCTCAGCTTCCATCTCTTCTCCCAAGTCTTCCTTGACCTGCCCAGCTGCTAATATCCTCTCTGTGCCCTCTCAATCTTCCCTATACTCAACTTATCTGTGTATCTGATGTGCTCTTCCTCCATCCCCCAAAAGGCTGGAAGCTGCTTGGATTCACGGACTACTCGCTTCGGTCTTTCTGCAAATCCTTAGTGCCTGGGACAAAGTAAGCGCTTAACAAATGTTTGTTGACTGACTACTTGAGGTTGTTTCTTTGTATCTCCACTGGCTTGCACTTAATGCATATTTAATTAATGTCTGTTGAATTCAATTGAATTGAAAATAAAAGGCACTAAAATGTCCATACTCTGACCCAGAAGGCCTACTGCCAAAGACAGAAAGGCTCCATGTCTACCAAAATATTTATAATGGCATTTTTGCAGTATCAAAGAGAGGGACACTAAGGAGATGCCCATCAGGCAGAGAATGGATACGCCAGTTGTGGGATCCCAATGTGGTGGCCTAGCACGGTGTTCTAAGAAGCAATGAAAACGAAGAGGAAAGAAGCTGGGAAGCCAAAGAAATGCTCCAGAATGAAGGCAGCAAAGCAGGAAAAACAACATGCACAAGGTCGACAATTTCAGGGGGAAGAACCACAACCCGTTCAATCTGTTGAAAGAATCCTGCAAGGGTAGAATGGCCAAGTTGGACCCTAACGAAGAGACAAGATGCTCTGGGTCGCCTTCTCGCCCAGGAAAGGCTTCTGCCCTGGGGTCCAGGCCAGAGACTCCATGATCAGGGGGAAGGAGCCCAGACTTCCCCCTCCTCCATGGCTCCCTTCTCCCTGCCCAGCCCCCAGTTTTCCGGATTCTCTCCACGTTTTGTTTTCACCAGTTAGAACATAAGGTCCTTAAAGTAGGGACTCCATGTTTTGCTTGTATTTGTATCTCTGTTAACTACGAATATAACATTGTACCTCATTACTTACATGATCTAGTGTCATAGTAAACAAGAAATAAATGCTTTATCTCCTGCTTCTTTGCAAAGATGGGGGACAACGGGTGTAGTATGCTGCATAAACCTTCAGACTTTCACTAATAAGTTGGCTAGTTTTGCTCAACTGCTTTGCTTTGCTCTTTTTTGTTCTTTGGTACAAAGGGTAGCTTTCTGAGGAAGGAAGGCAGATAAGCTACACTTGGAAATACAGGTGATATAAAAAACAAAAGACATCAAGAGAAATTTATTTTAAATAGATAAAAGAAAATGAAATTGAGAAACAAGATGGCCTGACATCCGAGCTAGATACAGCCACAAGCTATGGCTAATTACAAGCCAGTTAGAGCTGGGCTGTGCTTGCCTGTTTCCTGCTGTGTGAGTGTGGGACAAGTCATTTAGAGTGTCTGAGCCTCCATTTTCTCATCTGTGAAATGGGTACAAATGTATCACAAGTGTCTAAGTCACAGGGCTATTGTGAGAAAGACCCCTTGCAGGGGCAGCATGGCATGATAGAAAGAGCACTGAACTTGGAATTGAGGGCCTGTATCTGTGTGACCCTGGGCAAGTCACTTTACCTCTTTGGGCCTATTTCCAGATCTGTAAAATGACAGAGTTAGTTAAGAGGTCACTCTGAGCTCCAGAGCTACGATCCCACAATCCTAAACCACAACATCGTCACAAACAAGAGATGTTAATATTTCTCCCATCAGCGACATAATATTAATAGGAATGATGGCTAGCATTTACAAAGCACTTTCAGGCTTGCCAAATTCTTCACACTCATCATCTCATTTGATGGATTGCGAAAGCACAGGTTCTCCTTAGCCACAAGTGACAGGCACTGGGATTTCTCTCCAGTATTTAGGGGCACAAGCAGCCAATTACTTAAGGCTTGGAACAAACAGCATTAAGCTGATTGTCTGATGAGACAATCCCTCGCTGCTACTTTACAGAGAAAAGACGAGGCTGCCTGCTCCCTCCCTTCTCCCATCCATCAGACCAGAAGGGTTCAGATTGGGCGAGCTCGCTGCTCATTGGCTGGCTCTCCCATGCCCCCTCCCCACAAACACAGGCAGAGATGCCCACAGCAGCACGTAACTCACCATCTGAGTTTGAAAAGCCAAACAAACATGCCAAAGGGAAAGGCATCAGCATTTAGAGGACAGATTTTTGGTTTTTTACTCTACAAAACTAATCAGATTTTAAGAATGGTTTTTTTTTTTATGGGAAAAGAAACCAGGTGAGCCCAGGAGGGGGAGAAAAGCCTCGAGGAAGAAAAGACGAAAGAGAAAGAATGAGGTTGGGGGAAAATGAGGCTTCTCAACATAGAAACCAAAGGTGTCTTTAGGGGGTCAAGGGAGAATGAGGAGCAGCATATGCCAGACAGAAGCAGCCCATTAAGGGAATAGAGTCACCTCTGATACCTCATACTGTTTCATGGGAAAGTGGGCACCTGGGAAGGTGGTCTTCTAATCAGACAACACAGCCTAGGAAAAGCAGACATTTAAAGAAGGTCCTCCCAGAGGGGACACACCCACCTGCCGGGCCCTCTGCTCTAGAAGGGAAGGTGGCTAATCTTCCAAGTGCCTTTTGACTCTTCTAAGCAGATCAGCGCCAGGCTCTATCCTACAGAGAGACCTGCCCCAGAGCTAATTCACCCTGACCATCTCAAACCCGCCTCCGTGGGCTCTAATGTGGAGGCTGAAGGATGACATTGGGAGCTCTGAAATAAGTCAAAAAATCAAGGTCACCCCCAGAGGTGTTCGGCGGCCTGGCTGTTTAAGGCTTTCCAATAGCTGGCAAAAGACTAGAGAGCACACAGTACAAAGAAAAGGGGAATGGAAGTTGAAATCCAAGGACCTCCGTTCAAATCTCGGCTCATTTACTGCCCATGTGACTTTGGCCAAGCCACTGGCTTCTCTGGGCCTCAACTCTTCATTTGTAAAACACACGGCGCTTGGAACTGGTGCCTCTGAGGTCCCTCACAGCCATAAATCCACAAGCTGGTGACAGAGAACATGTGGCCAAGCCACACTGCTTTGTAGCCCACTGAAATATCCTTGGATCGGAAACAGAATAATCACACGGACGAGAGTTAGGCAGGAACGAAGACGATTATGCTTATGAAAATTATGAGGTAGCTAGAAGCATAGAGTGCGGATCCCAGAGCCAGGAAGACCCAAGTTCAAATCTGGCCTCTGACACTTAGTTGTGTAACCCTGGACAAGTCACTTATTCTCTGTTTGCCTCAGTTTCTTCATCCATAAAATGGAGATAATAATAGCACCTACCTCACAGAGTTGTTGTGAAGGTAAGATGGGAAAACATTTGTAAAGCACATTGTGATAACCTTAAAGTACTATATAAACATTAGTTATTATTATTATTAAGCAGTAGAACTACAGCACGGATCTGATCACAGCCCTCCTCCTGCTCCAGGAGTTCCCAATGGTTCCCTGCAGCCTCTAGGGTAAAATGCAAACCTCCTGGGCTTGGCACAGAAAGCCCTTTCCAGGACTCACAGCACGTTACTTCCCACTTTTACTCCAGATGAGCCAATCCATTTATCTCTACACATGGCTCCCATCTCCCATTCCTAGGCTTTGTACAGGCAGCTCCCTACACCTGGCATGGACTGCCCCTCCAAGGTTGCTCTGCATCTACTCTTGTTTATAAATATAAATAAATATGTGTGTGTGTGCGCGCGCGCGCGTGCGCACGCGAGGGTGGGTGGGTGGGGGTATAATGTATGTAGTGTCTCCCACATTAGAATTCAAGCTCATGAGGGCAGAAACTGTAGTTCTATTGTTCTTTGTAACCCTAGTACTTGGCACTGTATCTCACACATAGTAAGTACTTACTG